GGAGAAGAAAAAAGAAGAGAAGGAGGCTGGATGGAGAGCCAGAAGGAGACCTGAGGAAGCCACATGGAACAGCAAGCATGTGATGAAGAAACTGGGCTTGTTTCCTGACTCTGGACTGGCTAAGGCAGATGTGGGTGAGATACCTGTAGGGAAGTGACTATGGCAGTGTTTATATTGATTTTGATTTTGCTCTTTTGCTCCCAGATTCGTCTGGCCATTTCTGACCCTTTTCCATGGGTCCCGGCCAGAAGGTGCTTTAGTCTTGTGGCAGCTTTCAGGCCTTGCTTTGGGTTGACTTTTGCCCAGGAGGGGATGGGAAACTTCAGGTGTTTGATTTAGAAATTATATTCTTTGTGTTCTATATTGTATATTCACTGTATTAAAGTCCCTGTTCATTAAAGTTTTATATGTTTTGTCTTGTTGCGGCGGATGGCAGAACCCACTTGAGCAGGCAGGATTTTGGGGCTACAGGGGTGTACCTCTCCCCCTGTCCTGGAACAGATTTTGGGTGCTCTATAACAATTTTTACTGAGCTAGGAAACAGCCCTGACCTTGGTGCTGATAGCTGGCCTGCACTAAAGCAGCCCTGCATCTCTGCTCCCAAGGACTGGCTGCTGAGATTCAACCTTCTTGCTACACTGCAGTTACGTAGGAGGCTTTAAGAAAATACTGGTGCTCCAGACCCTACACTAGAGGTTCTGTTTAACTGGTCTGAGGTAAGGCCCAAGGCAGCAAGGGCTCTCTCTCTCTCTCTCTCTCTATATATATATATATATACATACATACATACATATATATATATATATACATACATACATACATATATATATATATATATATATATATATAATATAAGTTTATTTTTAACATCATTTTGTGCCTTTCTCAGTTGTAATCCCCGTGGGTTTCCCATCACCAAATCACCTATGCCAAGGGCACTAATTTTAAAAGTTAATCAAGAGATTTTAATGCACAGCATGGGATGGATTCCTTAGGCTAATCAATTGCTCAGGAGAACCACCTGAAGCCTCAGGGGTCCAAGCCACAGTCTTAAGCACAGCACCCCCTCTCCTCCAGCTGCCTTCTTCAGGTCTGGCTGATTTAGAGGCAGAACCAAGACTCTGGCTGACAGAATAAATTAGGAGTTGGCGCTTCACCCAGTCATCAATCAATTACAAATTCAATAGCTATTTTATATAAATGTGAAAGAAATGATAGACACTGACTGAAAGATCCAGTTGAGACTGGGTAGTCAGGCTCCTCTGAGGAGAAGGTAGTTACTCTGAGACCTGAATGATAAGAAGGAGCCTGCTGTGTGGAGCTGCCATGACTAGCAGCAAGAACAGTAGGTGCAAAGGCCCTGTCGGGTAAGTCAGGGGCATGTGGCTGAAGTATAATCAATGGAGAAGAGACCAATGGGATGCAATCTGCAAGCTGGGCAGAGGAGCATCAGGATCGGTCTTGTAACTATGATAAGAAAGTGGTTTTCATTTTCAGGAGGTAGGGAGCCCCATGAAGGTTTTCAGGAAGGAATGATGTATCCTGATTTGCACTGGTAAGAGATACACTGGCTGTGATGGGGTGGGTAACTGGCGGGGAGCAGGTGGAGTCCACTCCACCCAGGTAGCAGGTACTCCTGTGCTCACTCTCGGGGGAAGGCCAGTGCACAGCTCCAGGCTGAGGAATGTAGGTCAGGCAGCCTGGTGCCCTCCGCCAAGCCACCATGCAGCCCCCTCACATGTCAGAGGAAAAAAGCTGACTCTGAGATGTGTGGGCTTAGCCAAGATCAGCGTTGGCAGAGGAGACAGGGATAACTGTGTGGGGTTCCTTTGGCCCCCTTCTCAGGGTGCTTCTTCCCCCACCTTCCACCCCTCCAGGATCTCCCTCCCCAGGGCAGGCCTTGACAAGAGCAGGCAGCTATATTTTAAGATCAGGGCTCAGACCTCTAAATAAACCATAAACACAGGCAGCTTCCCTGGTACAGGAGGAGGGAGATGGCTCCATTTCTCTTCACCACAGTGACTGGGAAATAAACAAGTGGCTCTGCCTGTCACATGCACTTAACCCTCTGCAAAGGCATCTGTCAGACCCACAGAGCTTCTGCCTCAGCCTTTCCAAGAAATAACCGATGTGCCCCAAACTCAAGCTTCTCTTTGCAGCTTTCAAATCCCCTTTTCTGTTCAAGGAAAGGCAGGCATGGGGGCTTGTCTTTAACCCCAGTCTCTCAGGCAAAGCTAACAAAGGGCGGGCACAGATGCTGGGCTCCTGAGTGGCATGTTGGCACAGCTCTGTCAGCTGTGGAAGGGGGATGAGGGAGGGAGAGAGAGAGAGAGAAAAGAGAAAGGGAGGATGATTAAAAAGGAGGGAGGTGGAGGGGGACAGGCAAGCACAGGGAGCAGAGCTGAGAGGAGCATGAAGTAGCCCCTATTAGGGAGGTTGTGAGGGGTGAAGGTCCCAAAGCCCGCGGCAGAGTCCTGATGGTCTGCTTGTGAGGTGGCTGTGAGTGGGAGAAAAAAAAAGAGAGAAACAGAAGGCGAAGAGAGCTTTCTCCACAGGCGAAATCTCCCACAACCACGAAGGAAAAAGGAGTGAGCAAGAACAAAAACAGACAGGAACAGAAGGAGGCAGGCAGATACGTAAAGCAGGGAAGGGAGGAAAACCCCAGAGTGATAAACCCAAGCATTTTGGGGGCAGGAGGACCCTCCAAACGCAGCAGGAGGTGACTTATGCATTGAACTGTCAGAAGAGTCAGGAGTGAGGCAGAGGGAATGGGAGTGGCCGAGTCGAATGGTGGCCAACTGGTGGCAAAGGAGAAGGGGCTACAGGTTTTGGGGTGGCCAGAGGCCAGGAAGCCCATAGTGAAAGGATGCTGTAAAGGCCTAGAGAGAAACAGCACCCATAAAGTTTGCCCCATCAGAGCTGTTGCAATGGACATATGCAGCAGGGAGACCTCACGGCCAGCAACCTCCTCCTCCTTTCCCCCACACAAGATGTGTGTGGGGGGGATTCAAAGAGGAGCAGTGATTATGCAGGCACCTAAACACACACACACCTCCCTTACCTGCCTCTGGCAAGGGCTGGTGCACTCTCAGCAGCACTCCCATGGGAGAAATGAGGCTCAGGGACCTACAGGCTGCAACCTACATTAGTATGGGGAGCATCGCAGACTTGAAATGCTAGATCTGGCCAACCTCAAGAGGGGATGAGGTCAGTCTGCTCTAAAACACAGACCTCTGAAGAAACACAGGCAAAGATAACAAATGCAGGATCTTTTCACCTGTCCTCCCTCCTCCCCCCTCTCTCACAGACATCCCTCTTCAAAAGCATAAGATACAAGATACTGGGAGATCCTGTGACCCTTACCAAGGTATTCTCTCTTCCCACATGTGCCCATTTGCTGAGGCCTGCAGGGATCTGGGTATGCAGCCTTCTCAGCAGGCAACACACCTGTGCACATGCCCACACATTTCCAGAGGCATGTGGCTGGCACAGGGATGCATCATTTAAGTGTGGCCAGGACTGGATCCAAGAGCCCCACATGAAGCCAGAGACAGGAGTCCCCAGACCCTCTAAGGAACCTCAAAACACCGGTGCTCCAGAAAGCACTGGTCCAGCTGGCATTGCCAGCGTCCTGTTACAGAAAGGATGTTCTTCCTATTGTGGTTGTGGTGGCTGCCAGAGACACACCACAAGGGCATCCACAGGACTTCTGACAGAGACCTATAGCCTATTAGCTCCAGAGACCTATAGCCTACTAGCTCTGTGCTAAGTCCCCATCATGTGCTCACCTTTGTAAATGAGGGCCGTATAAAAAGCCTGAGAGCTGGGGGTGGTGGGTGCACTTCCCTCCCAAATCCCAGGGACTATGGGTCCATTTTTCAGCTCAGGCTCAATAGACAATGTGTTAGGTAAGGAACAATCCTAGTAGATCAAGTGGTCCTATCTGGGCTACAGATCTCTGGAGAAAGGGGAAACAGGTACCAAACACCTCTGTACTGGATCCACACACACTCAATACTTATTGTGTGCGCACACACACCATTCGCATCCTATTGAACACAGGGAGCCTACCACAGTCCACCAAATAAGGTACTGTACACTGATACGCCTTAAGTTTCCCTGTTCTGAGATGCACACACCTCCCCACCCTTCAGATTCCATTTTTTATCAACATTGCACACACGACACTGAAAATTACTACTGCCCTCGGACTATATACAAACAGCCCCCTGTACTCCTCTAAAATCTGCACCTCGATCTGTATATAAACCGCACTACACAGCATGACCAAACAGAACTCTGCAACTCCCTCCCACGTTGGTGGTGGCCGTGGTCCTGCCCCTTGGAAGCTAAGGGGAGCAGGACCTCAGGCTTACTTGCCCCCTTTCCTCTTCTGCTCCAAAAAGCCCCCGATATTCAGGAAACTTTCTATTAGGTCCCTAAAAGGGGAAACGGAGTTCCTCCCTTCCTGTAATTTCCTGGGAATCACGCAAGCCACCCCTCCCTCTCCAGCACAGCTCCTGGGAGAAAGGTCACCGTAGGCAGTCCCCTGCCTGCACCCAGGGAGGAGGTAGGGTGGCAATAAGCTGTTACCAGCGGATGGGTGGGGGGTTGGGAAAGGTGTCGAGAAGGGGGCGCAAAGGGGTTGCCCTGACTCTCTGGAGGAGAGCCGAGAAGCAGAGCCAGCGGCATCTCCCCAGTCTTGGGCGGTGATCGCACCCGGGATTGGGGCGCTTGGAGCTGTCCGTTCAGCACCAGCGCTCCGAGCCCCAGCGCAAGGGCCCCTGCCGAGAAGCACTCGCTCAGCTCTGGCTGTGGTTCCCGAGGGCGCCTGCGGCGCGGACTGTTGTCTCTCTCCGGGGCTGAGAGGCACGCGGATCGAGAGAAGGGGGCTCTGCGGCTAGGCGGGTCCACGCAGCCACCTGTGAGTCTCCCGCAACTGCGGGCGGCGGCAGCGGGATCTCCGCCGGAGACTGGAGGAGAGGAGACGCTCTGCGGACCCCGCCCGCGGGCCCGCCGGGCACACACACAGGCGCACACACACTCGCACCCGCGCGCACACGCACAGCCAGCCGGCAGCGGCAGCTGCCGCGATGCTCGCCAGCAGGTCGGGGAAGTTTCCCGCCGGCCTTGGCCGCGGGTCCCGGTGCTCTCAGGTAAGCGCTTCCCGAACGCGCAGGGCTCGCTGGAGCAGCTCTACTGGGTGAGGCGCGGTGCACGCGGCTGTAGGGCAAGGCGCCAGACAGGCGGGGAGGCCCGGGGAGAGGCAGGGGTGGAGGGGTGGGGGCCAAGGGGCTTCAGTTCTGGGGGCTGGACGAAGGGGACTACAGCACGACCCCTCTTTCCTATAGGCCGGTTTACGTACTCTAGCGGCGAATTTCCCCGCCCCCTCCCAAAGCCACGCGCCCCCCAGCTTGGCCCAGCCTTGCGGGTGCGCATCCCAGCTCCAGTCTCGCCTGTCTGCGGCTAGCGGGCGGGGGCGTCTTCTGGGCTCGCCCACCGGCAAGGTCAGCTCACAGGCCCCTCGGGTCTCTGAGCCTCGACCCCCGCAAGCCTAAAGCTGCCCACAGGATCTCAGGCGTAGAGGTGGAGGCGCGGCTATGCTAATGAAAACATACCCACTCCACAAGCCTTACTTGGGTGGGGACAAAACCCTACAGATCCGCCCCACTTCCCATCCTAGTGCCCTTCAGCAACCAGAGACCCGGTCTGGAGAGAACTGGGCCCTCAGAAAGAGGTGGGGAAAAAGAGCGGAGAGCTCCTGGCCCTTAGCGTCCGCGCTCATTAACACGGTTTCCTTCGCTTCCAGGTGTAGCGCCCCCGCGCGGCCAGGGCGGCTGGCCGTCTCCAACATGACCGGCCAGAGCCTGTGGGACTTGTCGGAGGCCAACGTCGAGGATGGAGAGATCCGCATCAACGTAGGTGGCTTCAAGAGGCGGCTGCGTTCGCATACGCTGCTGCGCTTCCCTGAGACACGTTTGGGCCGCCTGCTGCTCTGCCACTCGCGCGAGGCCATTCTGGAGCTCTGCGATGACTATGACGATGTCCAACGTGAGTTCTACTTTGACCGCAACCCTGAGCTCTTCCCATATGTGCTGCATTTCTACCACACCGGCAAGCTACATGTCATGGCTGAGCTGTGTGTCTTCTCCTTCAGCCAGGAGATAGAGTACTGGGGCATCAATGAGTTCTTCATCGACTCTTGCTGCAGCTACAGCTACCATGGCCGCAAAGTGGAGCCTGAACAGGAGAAGTGGGACGAACAGAGCGATCAGGAGAGCACCACGTCCTCCTTTGATGAAATACTAGCCTTCTACAACGATGCATCCAAGTTTGATGGCCAGCCCCTGGGCAACTTCCGCAGGCAGCTGTGGTTGGCACTGGACAACCCGGGCTACTCAGTCCTGAGCAGGGTCTTCAGCGTCCTGTCCATCCTGGTAGTTTTGGGGTCCATCATCACCATGTGCCTCAATAGCCTGCCAGATTTCCAAATCCCTGACAGCCAGGGCAATCATGGTGAGGACCCTCGATTTGAAATTGTAGAGCACTTTGGCATTGCCTGGTTCACATTTGAATTGGTGGCCAGGTTTGCTGTGGCCCCTGACTTCCTCAAGTTTTTCAAGAATGCCCTTAACTTTATTGACCTTATGTCCATTGTCCCCTTTTACATCACCCTTGTGGTGAACTTGGTGGTGGAGAGCACACCTACTTTGGCCAACTTGGGCAGGGTGGCCCAGGTCCTGAGGCTGATGCGAATTTTCCGTATCTTGAAACTAGCCAGACACTCCACTGGTCTCCGCTCCCTAGGGGCCACCTTGAAATACAGCTACAAAGAAGTAGGGCTACTCTTACTCTACCTCTCTGTGGGCATTTCCATCTTCTCTGTAGTGGCCTACACCATCGAAAAGGAAGAGAACGAGGGCCTGGCAACCATCCCTGCTTGCTGGTGGTGGGCTACTGTCAGTATGACCACTGTGGGGTATGGAGATGTGGTCCCAGGGACCACTGCAGGGAAGCTGACTGCCTCTGCCTGCATTCTGGCAGGTATCCTGGTGGTGGTACTACCCATTACCTTGATCTTCAATAAGTTCTCCCACTTTTATCGGCGCCAAAAGCAACTCGAGAGTGCCATGCGTAGCTGTGACTTTGGAGATGGGATGAAGGAGGTCCCTTCTGTCAATTTAAGGGACTATTATGCCCATAAAGTTAAATCTCTCATGGCAAGTCTGACAAACATGAGCAGGAGCTCACCAAGTGAACTAAGTTTAAATGATTCCCTACATTAGTCAGGAGGACTTGTCATCCTCAGATGCATATTATCGAGCTGCCTCACGTGCCTCTGGCACAGTCTTGGCACCTTAGGGTTATGGCAGGAGTACGCCCAGCCCCAAAGGAGAGCGATGCATGGGCTGTGCGCGCCAGGTTGCTTCTGCAGTATTTAGAATCATATTTAGAGGGTGGTGTGCAAGACACCATGCCTTTGTACCTTTCAACAAAATGACACTCACAGGTCTTTGCATCATGGGCATATAACCTTCACCTTTCTGCCTGATGAGTACCTAGAATGCTAATTTTTCTGTTCATTGTGTACTCTATTCTAGTGCTCGTGGTCCAGTACTGTCTGTGAGTTGTTTGTGCTCCTGTTTCTGGAGTTATGTGAGTTCTGTACAAAGACCTCCCCCTCCCCCAAATACATGTTTGTCTAGTGGGAACAATCAATGGGATGAGATTTTACTCACATACTTATGAAAACAAAATCTCAGTTCTTTATACACTGCTTTCACTTAGTTTTAATACCAAAAACAGAGTGTGAAGTTGAGCCCACATGACAATTGCAAGTCTGTAAGTCTCTGTAAATGATCTGTAGCTCCGTGGTTTGCATGGATGCACCGGCCACCTTTAGAACGATGTATTCTGATGTTCATCTTGTAAATGTTGCTCTTTAGAGAATGTTGACTCAGTTAAACATGTAGTGAAGAGCGACGGTTTTTGTGTTTTTTTTTTTTTTTTGTTTGTTTTTTTTTTAACCCTAAGAAAGATGTAGGGACAGGAGCTTCAGCTAAACATAGGCCAAAGTACAGGCTGCTTGAAGAAGTTAGTGTAGGCTGCTAACTTTGTTTCAGGTCAGGCTTATGTCTTTCATAGGGTGACCATGGCTGAAGTTCCTGATCTAAGTCACTTGACAAACTTTGCTGTGTCTTAGATATTAGCATGTTTTTTTAAAAATATTTTTTAAAGGTGTTTAGAAATAAGGTCATTGTTGTCTTTCTCTATTAAAAAGAGGTTTACTGTTGTATTGTCTCCCTGAGGCCAACATTGTTGGGTTCCTAGCAAGGGCAGTAGCTTAGAATTGTTGTCTGCTCTGAAAGCTTATAAAATAAGAGCCCTTTTATTTCCAAGCAGAATTTACTTAGAAAATTTTGCTTCTAGGATATAGTATGTAGTGCTGTAGTATATAGTATATATGATGTTTGAGTTTCCTAGGAATTCCTGATTTGACATGGAACTCTGATGGTGTGGAAGGGGTTCTCAAAATACAGACATGCCAAACGGCAGTGCAGGGCTTGCTCAGGATGGAGATATTACAGTTTTCATTTCTATTTCAACTGCCTTTTGTTGGGGGAAGGTGAATCGGGGCCAGAAGGAAAGAGTTGTAAAATAAAAACCACTGATTCATAAAATGTTATATTAATTGTAAACTTATTGAGAAGTTTGATGCTATTGAAAAAGACCTTTAAAAGTCTAAACTTGTGTTGAAGGTTGACAACAGTTTCCTTCTCAAAAAAATGCCTTTCCCTGTCTTTGGTTAACTAGCATGTAACATTGTGAAGAGGAAATTGGGCTCCATTGTAAGATAGTTCTCCATTATCATCTAGGTAATCAGATGGCTCTCCAGTTGGTTTTGTTATTGTGCAATCTTTGAAAAAGCTGGAGATTGCGGGCGTCTAAGCATGGAGTACAGCAGGCTTTTTATCTAAGGTGTGGGCCTTTCCTTAAGAGGTCCATTTTCTGTCTTAGTTGGCTGGGGATAATATGTACTTCTGTGGGTGATGAGGATCTTGTCGGAAGGCTTTGTGTACTTGTAGTTGCTATGCTACTTACCGAGCAGGTGATTTGTTGGGCGAATGCTCTAGTTAGTTATGCCCTTGAATCCCCGTTTAAATTATTCCAATAGACTGGAGGTTCAGCGGGCAGGGAAACAGCCACCTCCTGGTGCCTGATGGTCTACTCTCTACATCTGTTTCTCCAAAGCATCAGGAAAGATGAGATGACTTGGGAGGAACTTGCCACCAAGTCGACAAGCAAGGTTATTTTTCATCATTTATATTTGGCATTGCTGATGTTTCTAGCACTGGATGGATGGCAGGGGGTTCACAAAATCATCTCCAGCTGCACTGAGGGCAGGTGATAGTATAAACTTATGAAGACTGCTCAGTTTGCCAAGACTGATGGTGTTGGGTTACTGTGCATGGTATCCATGGTCACTATAAAGCTTGTAAAAGGTAGAAACAAGACAGAATAACTCAGTCACTCTCATGAGTTGTTTTCTAAACAAGCACTTGTTAAACACCAAAAGAGAGATTACCCTAGTGGTTACTCTTTGCAGATGTGAAAGCTAGAAACGTGACTTCACATTTTGGTAATGACTTGCATTTATTTGGTGCCTTTCATTGGGGGGAAATCCCAAAGTGCTTTAGAGACTGTCTTTTTAACATCTCTTGTATATAGAAGTACTTGTATAAAATATTACTTTGCCCATCAAGGAACTTCAGTCACTTCAGAACATGAGAATCTCCTACTAGCATTGAGTTCTCCACGTGTTGGTTTAGATGAGGTTAAGAGAGGACAACCCAGCTGGCTTGAACACTGTATTTAATTCCCACCAAGGATGAAGACTGAATTGTGACCCGAGGAGGAGTAAACTTTCTCTGTCGCAAAGTACCATCAGAGCATGACGTTCACAAGTGCTCTCAATTGGGCTTTGACTGACACATGTAGGACATTATGTGGCAGTTTCTTCTAGTCCCTGAAGCCAGTCAAGGAGGGCCTGATTGATTTTCTGCTGTTTCTGGAGTTAAGAATATAAATATAAGCTGACATCCTTGGCCAGCAGGCTGTCAGAATGACCCATTAACCTCTTTTAAGGGGACACAGCAGAAGCTTCAAATCACTTATTTCCAACTGTTGGCTTGAAAGCAGCTTCATTCCCAACATTGTTTCAGTGTCCTTGGGACAAATATTTAGGTCTGGTTTTTCTCATAATATATGTGATGAGCATTTGAAAGTGCCAGTTGGAAAGTGACACCATGTCTTTAATGCACAGATGTGTACTGTTTACAGGTCTGTGTTTTCTGCCAAACCCCCACACTCCCTGGGTTTGCTATTGAGGGGCATGTTGTAATGCCGAGCTTTGTAGCTCATAAGGTAGTAATTGGTATTTAATACTTGGATTTGTTATTCCTACTTATCATAGTGTTCAAATAATTGAACTACCTGCTAATTCTTGACTCATTTCAAAGAAAATGATTTGTTATGCACTTTGGGATAACAGTGATCTGTACAGGCTGTGTTATCTGCTTGAAGGCTTAACTGGTATTTCTTGTATGTTTTAACAGCATGACTTGTTACAGAGTTGTAATTTAAAAAATTGAGAACGCTGTTATTTGTGATGTCAGTTTAACACTCATTAACACACTACTGTGCAAGCACTGGCGCAGGCCCGCTGAACCCTTCTGTCTGGGGGCCACACTCGAGTCTCCATGTCTGGGAATGAGGAACTCTGGCATACTCAGATCTCCAGCCTCCAAGAGTAAGCAGATGAAACGGAAAAATTAATTTTGCTTTCTTAAATCACTTCCATCACATACAGAGTGGCAAATAGGGGGCATTTAAAGTTGGGGGCTAGATTCCCTGAGAAAGGCTGGACATTTTGAGCCTTTACTGAGAAAGAAAAGCTGTTATTCTCTGCAAGCATATAGAGAAGCTCCCCCACCTTCAACCAGAAACTAGAACTCCCAGACTGCTCTTTAGAAAGAATGGTCATTTATTTTTGGACCCCTCATGAAACAGATACCTCAGTAGGATTTTCCTCTTTGATACTGTCTTGCTCAACACCTCCAAAGATGCCAGTTCCACCATACCCTGTGTCATTCTCCTGCAGTCACAGCACCCTCTGACAGTTAACTGGGGACTGGGTGACCTGAATGTCCTGGTTGGTTTGGTGTGAGTATTGCTGGGGAAACATAAAACCTGCTCTCAGCAACAGCTTACCCAGCGGTGACTTAGCCAATGAGTCATCCTGAAGGCTGTGGGGAATCTGTAGGGAGGTCACTGGTCTAAGTGGGCTCTGCTCCGAGTTCTCCCTCCAACTCTGCCTTCCTGAGCCTCATATTCCACTGTTACAAAATAAAAAGTTTGGATTAGATCACCCTAAATCCCTGCCCATGCTTCATCCCAATGTCAAAACAGAATTTCTGTGTGCCCCTCTTTATCCTCATTGTAGTGGTGAGCAGATCCAGTATCCCTATTTTATTTAAGCAGAGCAGAGGGACTACTTACACGTAGCCTTTTATTTGCTTGCATTTCTTTTTTCAACAGCCAACTATCATAGACAACAATTTCAGAGACAGTAGTACTGGAGCTCTGTTTGGGCAGCAGCTGTCTGGGCCAGGTGAATAGTTTTAAAACTATCAACATGAGTCTCCTTTAGGCTTTAAACTATTTACACCTAATCCAGATTCTTGTTATTAAAAATCTTTAGACAGAGGAAAATCACATAGATCCCATTTGACTTCAGGGCTAACTGTTCACCATTTTTTTCCTTTGTGAAGCTTGGCAGGTCCCCACCCTGTTCCCAAGCAGTTTAGGGCCTATCTGGGGCCCCTAGGTAAATCCAGTAGATCTCCCATCCCTCACTTAATCCCCACTGAGGTGGGGGCATCTGTGCAAGTGCTCTTGTGTGTAACCTGCAGCAGGGTGTGGTGGCCTATGTTAACCTGACTCAGGGATGAAGAAGGAGACACTCAAGGTTGCTCCAGGCCTTGAATTCCCACCAAGTGGTAGCACAGCTCCTCCCTCCAGCAGGGGTATAAATGTATCTTCAGGGATATTTTGGGGCCAGAATGCCTTGCATCTTAAAAGGGAAAACAAATACCTCCCTTCTGAGGGAAAAGCTTAAATACTGCAGTCACATCGTTACTATCTCCTTTTTATTTTTAAGAGAACTTTTAACTAGTGCTTCTACTCAAGGACCTTATCTAGATGTTACAGCCAATTGATAATGTACATCTGAAAATTTGCCACATTTTCCTCCTCCTATGACCTCATTAGCCATTCATCATTCTCCTGGCTAAATTCTTCAAAGCAAACGACTGTGTCTGCATGTGACAAGCTGGTTCTTTCAGAAGACAGACACAAAAACAAGGCCTTGAAGACATGGTCTGGGGGAAAGTACATTGGAGAGGACAGGCGTGTCTAGTAGTATGGTTAGTTGGTGTAAGTTCTAACAAGAGGAAAAAAGAGCAGGAAGAAGCCAGAGAAAAATTAAAACAAAAGGGTACAGAAGGAGAGCATGAATAAAAGAAAAGGCAGAAGGGAATGAAGGGAAGAGAGCAGATGGTAAATTAGGGAGAGCAAGAGGTTATGTTAATTTTGGTTGAATTCATTTATTTCCAATCAGCATAGTATGCTTTCAGCCCACCAGTGATCTCGTGGAGTTAACACCTGTGGAATCAATGCCCTAGCATCTTCTGCACCTCCCCACAAATGGTTTCAAAGTCTGGTAGGACAGAGCTATGAAAACCAGTACAGACCTTTTGGATGAAGAGGACAGTGAGGACACGAAAAGGATAGGTAATTATTTCCTCTTTTAAGATGGGACTTCTGGGTTTACAAGCAGAAAGGGGACCAGGTATTAGACAGCACAGGCAGTGGTGGGAGTCAGGAAAGTTGAAGGGGTGGGAATGTGATGAAACTGCACAAATAGGAACCTTCATAAGCCAAGATAAGGAAGCACAAGTAGATCAGACTGTATGAGACACACAAGTCAGCATCACTGCAAAGAATAATGATACAAAAATAGTCCAGAAAAAGTCATCAAAAGAGTTGGAGCTTAATTCTTTTGCTATCCTGACAAGAGTGATGCTGTCAGAAGGTGATGGCACAGTCTGGAAGGCATGGGACAGGCCAGGAGACCTACTTGAGGTCATTGCAGTGCACAGACCAGATGCAAAGGAAGTGGGTTGAAGAAGAGGCAGGAGTTGCCAACGCTGATTCTATAGGAGTAACGAATGACTGGCTGTGGGGATAAGGGAGAGGGAGGACCAGCTTTTAAGTTTCTCATTTAGTTGGTAACTAAGTGGATGAGGGTGACATCCCAAGAGACAGAGACTGCTCAGATCCTTCCCTGAGGCTGAGTTGTGTTGCCTGAGCACCCAGGGGACACACAAGGTGGAGGTGTATGGAGGTCAGGGGGAAACCTAGAAGTTGAAATTGGTGAAAAGAGAAGGAAAGCAAAGGTGGAATGCTGCAGAAGACCCCAAGGCACAGCTAGAGAGATGAGTGAGGTACAGGGTCTTGTTTTTCTTTGCTGGGCCATTGTAGCTGTCATCCTATTGCTTTTCCTTTCCCTAGAGAAATCTTCTGTCAGTGGCCTCTACTGAGGCTTCAGCTTTCCTCACCTATTTCCTTATTTCATCTCTCTGACTGACTTCTCCTCCTACCACTTTTCAAATTGAGCTCGTGGGGCTCGCCAGTGATTTCCTAATTCCCAAAACTAAATTCAGTGGCCTTTTCCTCAGGCTTGTCCAAATCCTTTGGTGACAGACCAACGTTTCAGTGTTTTCATGGTTTACTCACTGAAATGTAGATGCTATACATTGCTGGTTTTCTCAATGGCTCTGCCTCTCCTCAAATTCCTACTGGGTCTTTGTCCACCCTCTGACCCTCTTCATCATGGATTTCTCTCTCAGACCTGTCCTTTGTAACCTACAGTTCTTTGCCCAAGCCACAGCCCCAACTAGTGTACAAATAATGCCTCTGTTTCTTTCCAGATACACAGCACTCAGCCCCATGAATGTTACTCCTGTGCATTTGGAAGTCAACATGTCTAAAACTAAATTTATCATCTTGCCCCAAACTTGTTCTTCCCTTTACTTACTTCCTCACTTATGTTAATGGACCACAGTGTTCTCAGCTTCTTGGATTGAAATACCAGCAATTTTTGACTGTCTTCACTATTATCCATTTACTCACCATAGCAACCATTTTGTGACAGTTGATAATTGCCAAGCACTATATGCAATGCAAGAATAAAGGGTATTGTTTGTGGTCCTTCAGCAGTATAGACTTAAAAGCCACTTTATTAAGCATCAAAGTAATTGGGGACCTTTTAAAAATGTAGACTTCTGGGCAATGCCTCATCTATACCATCAGCTTCTTGAGGGTGAGACCCAGCAATCTGCAGAAAAGCTCCCAGGTGAGTGATTCCAGAGGTTTCAGACCATTCATAGAGAAACACTATCCAAGAAAAACCCTCTACAGTCCTCACGTCCCCTCACTTCTACCTCCCCCTGAATACCAGGTTTTACAAGTGCTTTCTTCATAGTATCTCATGAAGAAAATCCCTTTGTATCCATTCTAAAGGCTCCCTCCTTGTTAACTCATCTTTGTTAGTATCTAATGAAGTCATGTCCAGGCTCCTCTCCTCCAATCCATCCCTCTCTGTGACCCCCCTACCAGATTCATAGTTCCTCTTCATGATCTTAGACCAACTGGTGACTTCTTTGGCTACAGCTGGTGCTTCTGTTGAATACAGCTACAGACACGAAGGCTCACAGCTGAGGTGAAAAACCCGCAGGGGCCACGAAGCTCTAAAACAAAGAAAAGGGCCCTTTAAAGGGGCTGCTTTCCAATGGGACAACCAGGAGTGGGTAATAGGGACACAGATTTGTAACATGGGACACACCAAGCTGATAGCACAAAGTGCCCGCATGTTGGAGGACTAGCCTCAACACCTGTACAGGGATGGCCAACCCCGAGTCCTACATGAATGGACTCCCGAAGAGACACATGGTTTTCTCCAGCAGCAAGTCACCCCAGTCATCAAGGGATGAGAGGTATGAGGCAGGCAGGCTTGGGGGCAGGGAAGAAACAAAATTGGGGTTCTCAGGAAGGTTTTTTCCACTCAAAACTCTTTTTTGTCGCCTACATCTCCAGACATTTAAAGAACTCTGAGCTATTTTCAGACCTACTATGAAAAGAACTGAGGTGTTATCAGTCAGACACCCATCTAAACCATTTCCTAAGAGGAGAGCTGGCATGACTCACTTTTGATTTGTCAGCTTTGTATCGATTTTTTCTGGTAATCTCTGTGGGTTTTCCAGAGCTGGGTCTACTAGGAGCAGCTGAATTGTACCCCACTGAGTTCAGGGTCACTTGTTACAAAGGACCAGCAGAGAGTTGTTGTCCATATTCTTTTTGTGGAATCTGTGGGAGGAGAAGAGGGAAGCTGCAATGCACAAAACCCAGGGTATCTCTGGGATTTCCAATGCTTGCTAAAGGCAGCCAGACAGTTTTCTTTATGCCTTTTCTGGATTTGGGATGTGAGGACTGTTTTTGGAATGAGGTGCTGGTGGGAATCAGCAGAGCCCTGGAAGTAATTCTGGGTTTTCTCACTGTGGG